CAATTTTTTCACCTTGTTCCTTCTTCAAAATACTTCTAATGGTGCTGTAATTCTTTGGTTCCATAGTAGATCTGATGTAAATTAGCTTCATATTAACTATTTTTATATAGAGATAATTCTATATATCACCTAATATTAAATGGAAGATTTTAATAATAATCACATTACTAAATTTTGATCCCTGAAATTTTTGGTAACACCAATGTTCACTTTGTCTGGTTTTGTTGCAGCATGCCCCATGTGATTTGTGGAACTAACAACGTTACACGTGTGTTCATATATAATTTTCAAATTTAGCCACTTATTATGTCAATTTCTGGGATTAGACTAGACGCATCATAACTTTATGAATTTGATCATATGTGCACAAATTTTTTTATGCAGATCACAAGATCATCAAATTTCCAACACTGGGTATTACTATTAATGCAGTAAATGAAGATCAAAATAAACAATTTCTAGACCAAGAAAAATTAGAATATTGCACAAAGGTCCTGCTTGCAAGCATGTTTATCTCATTACTATCATAATATACATGAATTAGAAATTTATATAATCCAAATTAGTGGTAAATAGTTTTCCTTTATAAATCTGATTGCTCATAATAATTGATTGAAATTGTAATATTTACTCCTTTTAGGGTTATCATTATCACTATCTGTTGCATCCTACCTCTTTGAAGATACCATTTGCATCTTGGGATTAACTGACATTATGATACCAAGAACTGTTGATACATTCTCTAAATGCGTGGAAGCAGTATATATGATTTTGTCTTTGAAGGTGCATATGTTATTTTATATTTATATTTCTCTCTCTCTCTCTCCTTGCTAATTTAAGTCCATATAAATTTTCCACAAAAAGGCTCATATATTGGAGAATAATAAATTAAATTATGAAATAATGGACAAGGCATTTATACAGTTGAAAGAAAAGAATTTTCTTCCACCTAAAAAACTAATGAATCTAAAAAAATGATTATTTGTGGTAATTGTATACATTTTTAAATTAACAAAGTTAATTATTCAAATGATTAAAAGGTTATATTTATATTGTTTTAGAATCTAACATTGTAGAAAGAAATGAATAAAATATTAATATTAAAGGTTTTAATTAACAACACACTATATTAATTAATCAGAGTAATTTTTTTTATATATTAAACCATAATGTAAATCATTTTTTCTCATTGAAAGAATTATTATACTTAATCAATTATGTTATATTTTTTTTCCCTGCCTCTTGTGCTTGCCTTATCTCTCATACTTTCACTAGTAATTTCTCTTGTAATTAGCATTGTAAATGAAAAATACTTGTAGTATTGTCCATCACCTAATGATTTAGTTAAGTGGGATTTTAATAAAACAACTCAGCTGTGATAATAATGACTAAATTTTGAACCCTGAAATTTTTGGTAATACCAATGTTCATGTTACTGTATGCCCCATATATATTTTTATTTGATTGACATTACGTTACATCAATTAATTTTGATTTTAGGGCATCTCACACCCCAATATAAGATCACAGAAGCTTTAACTTTTACTTCTAAGGTTACCTATTGAAACCAATTTGATCAATTTGATCAAGTTTTACCAAAATATAAAGAAACGAGTTAAAGCGATAGATTTTCCATAAAATGGGTTTTGTGCGCAGTCACGCGACTTTTTCTATTTTTAAATTCAATTGAAATAGCAAGTTTCACAACATAAAAAAGGTCGATGATCGATTTTGTCACAAGTGATGATGACACAATTACTTACTATATACAGTCAACTCCCTTCAAGTATACCGGAACATATCACTATCGCTCATGAGCGTGCGTTTAGAGAGGTGGATGCATTTAACCTTTTTTGCAAGTTTAGGCCATTGGAAAAAATGGCAGCTTTTAAAGATCATTCAGTCAACGAAACAGTCATTATTATCAAAAGACTTTATAGAAGGGGTTGTTGTATATTATTGAGATATTAATATTCTTTTTTCCGTTTCAACTATACATAACCAGTTGTACAAATAGCCAGTTTCTCACCAATCTAGCATAAAAGGTGCTGTTTAAATATTGGCAGACAAATGTTGAGGGATATCATACTCCTGCAAAATTTCCTCATTTTCTGCAGTTAAAACACTGGAACATATCATGCTCCCAATTTCAAAAAATTCAACAACAAACTTGATTTCCTGCTATAAGAATACACTGTAATGGTTTAATTTATTTATTATCATTCAAAAGTTCCTCAAAGATTCTAATGATTCTAGTTACCAACATTAAACATCAAAAGTATGTCCTAACCGTTCATCCTGTGGATTAAAAAACCACTATCTATTATTTGCATGTACTTCGTGTTACATATGTATGTTGGTCATAGTTTCATTAAGTCTTATTGTTTTTTTAAATTAATCCTTTCTCTATCGTAATTATTGTAAATGTTGTATATATATATAAATTTGAGGAAAAAACATAAGATAAATTTGGAAGAAAAAAATATGTATATATTTATATTTATATGTATTTATAAATGGTAAAAAAACAGCAAAAAAGAAAAAAAAGAAATATATTATAATAATAATAATAATAATAATAATCAAATCAAACCCAAATAAAACGAATTGTAACATTTAATAAAAGAAAGAAAGATATATATATATATATATATATATATATATATATATATATATACATAGTAATATTAATAAAATTATTCAATAATCATCTTCTTTCTTCTCCACCTTCCTTCTATTATTATTACTATCATTAAAATGTTTTATGAATGATTATTTTTTTATAAAAAACATATTTTAATTATTATTTTCTTTTTAATTTCTTAAAATATTTTTCTTGAATAAAAAAATACCAAATTTATGTTACTTTGGCCATTTCTTTTTTCTTCTTAGCAGCACTACGTGGAGGAGTAACTGGCCTTCCTGCATTCATACCACCATAAGTAAATTTCTTTTTCTCTGCTGGTTTAAGAATCTATTATTATAATTACAATAATAATATTAAATAATATTTAAAACCTTTAAATGTGTATACAACTTTTAACCAGTTAATATGTACCTGGAATGAACACATGAGGGTTTCATCTACACTCATCATTGCACCTGCATTATCAAATTCTCCACAATAATTTGGCGCAGAAAATAATGTAACAAGTTGTCGTTTGGCGAAAAATTCGTATCCATCTTCTACCACTTGATGTGCTCTACATATCAAATCCATATCATGTTTTTGTAAAAATCGACTAACCACATCTGATCCAAATGTATACGATACACCTCTATCATTCTCACTCCATCCAGTAATATCTTTTTCAGGATCTGACCATAGCAAATCACATAGTAAACCTTCAAATATTTAAAAAAACAATTTCAAATCAATCTTTAATTTTTATAATAAAAAACAAGGTATGTAAACGATATAATATACATATTTTTCTTCTTTTAAATGAATTAAAAACAAAAACAAAAATACCTGTGTCTGGTACATCTGTAGGTCTCATAACTCTTCGAATTTGTTCCATACTCTGAAGATCAGGTGATAACCCACCATGCATTGTAAAAATCTTTTCATCAATTATAGCAGCAATAGGTAAACAATTAAAACAGTCTGTAAAGGTTTTCCATAATTTAATATTATATCTTCTTTTACACTCATCATAAAATCCATAAATACGATTAATGCTTGCACATTCATGATTTCCGCGTAAAATAAAAAAATTTTCTGGATATTTTATCTTGTAGGCCAATAAAAGACAAATTGTTTCTAATGATTGTTTTCCTCTATCAACATAGTCACCAAGAAAAAGGTAATTTGCTTCTGGTGGAAATCCTCCGTATTCAAATAGCCTTAACAAATCATAATATTGACCATGTATATCACCTATATCATTAAAAAAAATAACCATGTATATATTTTTTGTGTGTGTGTGTGCATACATAAAAGATCAATTAAATGATAATATTTATTTACAAAAATTTTTTTAATTAAACATACCACAAATTTTTATTGGTGCTTCAAGTTCAAGAAGTATCGGCTGAGAAATAAAAATTTCTCTTGCTTTTGTGCATAGATATTTAATTTCAAATTCTGCAAGTTGAACTTGTTTACCGGGTCGACTACCTCTTACTATAAGAATAAAATTTATAAAATTTTTTGTTATTATTGACAAATAACGACAATCACCATAAAAATAACGTATGTAATCTATGTTTCAGTCGTTATAAAAGTTGTTTTATAATTTTGTTTTTATGCAACATATATACTATATATGTAAGTATATATAAATCCTAAATATATATATATATGTAATATTTGCCAAGTTGTATGTAAATAGTTCAAATGTAAATAAAAAGCAAGTTAGCACAATACCTTCAAGTAACCTATCAATAACAGAGTCAATGTCTATTTCAAGAGATTCGCCCATTGCGGTAGTCATTTATTTATTAATTATGAGCTTGGAAACAATAAATATACTTCTTTTTTTCTTTTTATATTCTACTGTCAAGAAACACCAAAAACCAAATTGTTTAAAGATCGCTTCGACAGAATAATAGAATAATTTGATAAAGAAAAAAAATTGACAGGAGACAATAGATTAGAATATTAGAATATTATTTAATTTTTCAGATAATAAAAATGAAATTAAAAAAAAATAATGTTGGACAGGATGTGTCGAATATGAAGTTTGATGTTTTTTGGTAACAATACATTTCAACCAATAAATTATTCGTAATAAATACAAAATCAAAATTGATATTTAAAAAGTATTTTTGTTACGCATGGTACTTATGCTATTATTTATTATTGATTTATAAAAAAAAAATAGGTTTATTTATTCTATTAACATTATTTGTTTTTTTTTTTTTGAAAACGCGTTAATCAATAATTATTCAATTAAATAATTATCTTTGAAATTTTTATTGGTTCTTTAAAGACATGAACTTGTATTTGTAAACAAATTCAGTTTTTATTAGACCAATGTTTAGTAATGGGTTAAAGACAGGTAATTTGAATGAAGTTTACAGGTCAGTTTCTTTGGAGTAGCAGTATAGGGAAACCACATAACTATGGGACGTTTACGCGATCAGTTTTTGATAGTTTACGTGTTCATTATGATCAGCTACTTCTGTGTAAGCACTTTACAATTTCACATATTATTATTAGAACTAAAGTGTGTGGAACCATGATGAATATAAAACAGTTAAAATATTTTTACTAATTACTTTTGAGAAGAAATACTTGTTCGAAATTTATTTATTTCTGGTACCCGTGTTACTTCAATAATGTTAATAATCAGAATTAAAATCTGGTTATGAACCCTGTTTCAATTGATGTTGATGTCATGTGGGGCATTTTGTTTTCATCTTTGGTTTTCCTACATTTATTGACCATTAAAAACCCCGAAATTAGTCAAAACTCCCGGAAAATCTAGAATAAGAAAAAAAATTTTTTTTTAATTTTTCTTTATTTTTTGCAGGAAGTATAATTGTCACCATTCTGGCCGTTCTTAGCCATGGCTCCATTTAATCAACGTCCTGAAAACGCTCTTAAAAGAGCTGAAGGTAAGTTGATCTATTGTATTATATATAAATTAGTCGGAACGATTGTAAAATCTATGTTCCTACAAAAAAAATTTTTTTTTTTAAATTTTAAAGTTGAACATTAAAGCATTAATATAAAAGGCCATTTAAAATGTCATTAATACTAAATTTGGTTTTATACTTTAGAATTAATCGCAGTTGGACAAAATGTGGCCGCCTTACAATCTCTACATGATATTGTTCTTTCGATACGGTCACGGACCATACCTTTACCCTCCTTCGAACCAATAATGCTTCGATTCATTGAATTATGTGTGAATCTGAGAAAAGGGAAGACTGCCAAAGAAGGCCTATATCAATTTAAACATATTTCACAAAGTTATAGTGTCGCAACTATTGAGGTTTGAAAATGAAATGTTTAAAATTTTTTTTCTTTTTAATTATTAATTTTCATTGATTAATATTCTATCTATTGATTAGCTTGTCATTAAAAGATTTCTTGAACTCGCTGAAGAAAAAGTAACTACTGCACAAGCAAAAGCTGATCAAATCACTTTGGAAACCGTCGATGATCTTGAGGCATCTGAGACTCCAGAATCAATTATGTTAAGTACAGTTAGTGGTGAACAAAGTAAAGACAGAACCGATAGAGCTGTGGTTACACCCTGGCTTAAATTTTTATGGGAAGCATATAGAACAGCTTTAGATTTTCTAAGAAATAATGTTCGATTAGAAGTCTTTTATCAAGTATGTTATCATACTTCCTTTTGTTTCACATAAGTAAAGCATATTTTTTATTATTTATAATTTACATTAATATTGCCATTACTATAATTATTGTTATTATTTTCTTTATATAGCAAACAGCACATCAAGCATTTCAATTTTGTTTAAAGTATACTCGTAAAACAGAATTTCGACGTCTTTGTGAACTTCTTCGCAACCATCTTCAAAACATAGCAAAATATCCAAATCAAACTAACTTGATTAATTTGAACGAACCAGAAACCTTAAAACGCCATCTTGATACAAGATTTTATCAGCTTAATGCAGCTGTTGAATTGGAATTATGGCAAGAAGCTTTTAGATCCGTTGAGGATATTCATAATCTATTGTCATTATCAAAAGGATCTCCAAAACCAATGATGATGGCCAATTATTATGATAAACTTACAAAAATCTTTTTAGTTGGTGAAAATTATTTATTCCATGCTGCTGCATGGAATTGCTATTATACATTGGTAAAAACTCAAAATAAATCGTTGTCTGATGAAGAAAATACCAGAATGGCTTCTTTTGTTTTATTATCTGTTCTTGCCATTCCTGTTATCACTAATTCTAAGACTCGTTTACTTGAAATTGATGATAATAAAAATAAACAACACAGACTTGCTATTTTGCTCGGAATGAGTCGTGCACCAACTAGGACTGGTTTACTTAAAGAGGCAGTATGTGCTTAATTTTAATTTTTAATTTTAATATTGTGTAACATAAATTATGAAAAAAGGTACAATCTATTTTCTTATTATTTTTTTTTCCCATTTATTCAAAAATTAGCTAAACAAACATATTCTTAGAAAAGTTCAACCTGAACTTAGAGATTTATACAACATTCTGGAGGTTCAATTTCATCCTTTGTCAATATGTAAAAAAATCGAACCTATTGTCAATCATCTTTCACAAGATACTGAAATGGCAAAATATGTTAAGCCTTTACATCAAGTTATTTTGACAAGACTTTTTCAACAACTTTCACAAGTTTATGATACAGTTAAACTTGATTTTATCATAAATCTAGCATCCTTTGCACCACCATATAATTATGAAGCTGCGACTATTGAGAAATTTATTATGAATGGATGTAAAAAGGGTGAACTTTCAATCAGAATTGATCATGCTACTAAAAGTTTAACATTTGAGACAGACATATTCTTATCACCAAAAATTACTGATTCTGATGGGGCCAAATTACAAGCATCGCCTACAGATCAAATGCGTGAACAACTTTCCAAACTTTCTAAATGCTTTTATACTGCTGTTCATATGATAGATCCTAGTATAGTCGAAGCCAAAAAGCAAGCTAAATCACAAACTATTGCGCATGCTTTATCTGGTATGGAAGATGAACATAATAACGCTTTGGCTCGTAAAGCCATTATTGAACGTAGAAGGGAGTTGTTAGAAACTTTATTGATGCGTCAAGAGAAAGAAGAACAACGGCAAAGAGCTATTCGTCAAAAACAAAGAGACGAAGAATTAAAACAACGTCAATTAGAAGAGGCTAAAAAAAGAGAGTCGCTTAGAAGAAAGCGTGAATATGAAGCTATCCAAAAAGAAGAAGTCAGAAAATTTGCCGAATCTCTTAAAGCTAAAAAATTGAATGTTCAGCCAGAGGTATTTATATAACTATCAACCCGTTTAATTGAATGCATGTATGTTTAGTAAATGTAAAATTATTTATTTATTGTGTAGGATTTGGAAAATTTAGATCCAGACCGTCTGGTACAATTACAAGTTGAACATATCGAAAAAGAAAAAAAAGAACTTGGTGAACGTCTTAGAACCCTTGCAAAACGCATGGATCATTTGGAACGTGCTTATCGTAAAGAAGAAATTCCTTTGCTTGTACAAGATTATGAAAAACAAAAGAAAACTGACCGAGAGTTACACGATGATGCTCGTAAAATGCAACTTGAAGCAGCGGCTTCCAAACATACTGAGAATCTTAAAATCAAATCAAGGTTAATGATAATGTTGCCTGATTATCAACAGTACCGTAAAGATATTGAAAATAAAAGATTTGAAGAATTTGAAGAACATCGTAGAGCAGCTCAAGCCAAAATTAATGAAGAGAAAGAGAAAAGAATAAAAATATTCAGAGCAAAAAAAGAAGATGAAAGAAAAAAAAAAGAGGCAGAAGAAGCAGCCAAAATAAAGGCGATAGAAGAAGAAAAAAGACATATTGAAGGTTTTTAATTAACGATTAATTTTTTAAAAACTTTTTTTACAACTATAATCTAAATTTTTTTACTTGTTATGAAGAAATGGAACGTGCAGAAGCAGAACGTCAAGAAAAAGAAAAAGCTCAAAAGGCAGAATATGAAGCTAAGAAAAGGTAATTATTATTTTTCCCCTGAAATTAACTTTATTATCGTTTGTTTAAGATCCTGATTACCATATCAATTTTCATTATTAAATCAGGAAACTTGACGAACAAGCTGCCAGGCAACGCGAGCGTGAAGAAGAAGCTGAACAAAGAAGATTAAAACGTGAATTGGAACAAAAGGCAAAAGATCTTGAAAGACAACAAATGGAAGATAAAGAAAAAAAAAAGGCTCAAGATGCTCAAGAAAAAATATCCGCTCCCAAAAGTAGTTACATTCCACCTGCACTTCGTAAGCAATTAGAATCTACATCACAATCACCAATTAAATCACAGGGTAGAGTAGCATCAGGTCGTGGTGCCAATATCGAAGAACCACAACGCCGTCGTACTGAAGAAACAACATGGCGAAGGAGTGAGACAGTTCGTAGCAATACAATTGATGCCGATACACTCCGAACTGAGCCAGGAATAATACGTAAGTCAGATCCGCATAGATCAACTGATGACGGTTCTTGGCGTGGTAGACAAGATTCAAGCCGTGGTTCTGAGCGTAAAACAGGTACAAGTCGTGGTACTGATGACGGTTCTTGGCGTAGCAGACAAGATTCAGGTGCTGCTGATGATGGTCTATGGCGTAGATCAAATTCAGGTCGTACAGCAGATGAACATCATAAAGCTTCACACGCTACAACAAAAGATGACGATGATGATGATGGGTTTATTCCTGTAACTAAGAATAAACGTCGTATTAAATCTCAGGCTGAATCATAATTATAAAAAACATTACTT